TCCCAAATACATGCTTTAACTTTTTATAAGAGTTGTGTAATTTAGGAGAAGCTACTTAACCACTCTGGACCTCAGTCTCCTCATTTTAGAAAGACAGCACCACCTCTTCCGGCCTGGTGACTTATATGTGAGACCCTTATGCAGGACATGCTTGGAGGAGCCCTCGCCAGCATCCGGTTCCCTGAGGGGCTGACTAGTTTTCTGCTACACAAGGAGTCCTGGGTGACTGTCCATAACTAAGCATCCCTGGAGGGGGCTGCTGTCAAAGACAATCCTGTCCCCACAGGGTGAGTATGCTCTCTGGGATTCCTACCCTTCCTTGTTTCTTGGCATCTCATATCTTGAGACTTCCTGCCTTGAAAACTGGCATGCAGTGAAGCCACAGAAGAAATTCTGGCTTCCTCCCACCTCCCATTCCCCAGCCAGGCTTGGGACTGCTGGCAATGCCAATAAATTAGACTGTGACTGGAGTTTTTGGAATTGGACTGGAATCCATTATTATTTCGGATGGGGTGAATCCCAAGGAAATAGGGATGCCTTCTTGCAGTGTGCCACTGAAATGAACGAGACCGAGTTGCAGGGGGTCCCAGTGCAGAAGGCTCTGAGCGAAAGAAAGGAAGCCCCCATCCACCCATTTACTTACAGGCAGGAAGCCAGGGCCTGGAGGAGGGCGGGCCCCACGCAGCCCACCTTCCAACAATGTCGTCATCCCTAGAAGGGTGCGCTTGCAACATAATGGCTCTAGCTACAAATTCTATTAACTCTAATAGTTGTTCTGTGGTGAATGGATAATGCATTTAGCAGAAATAGACCCAATCAATTTATATGAAACACATAAAACTTTCTCATTGGAATTGGCATCTGTTCTTGAATCATAGGAGCATGTGTGGAAACGGACAATATGTCACTGTGATTTCTGGCCACATTAGCTGGGTCACAGGTTAATTGGAGAGACGGTCCCAGTAGAGTGATGGCTCCCTTATACCAGACCCCTTCAACTCCCAGAGACACGAAGATGCGAATGGAAAGGACTTAAAGATTGTCTTCAAACTTCGCATTTTATAAACACCAGTTACCTGTCCTCCTCTGTGTCCACCCAGCCCTTTTCATAGGAGTACCACTAGTGGAACCAGGCATGTTGACACACCCCAGAAGGAGGCCACATTCGGTTAGCTGAACAGGCCTGAAACCTGGGGTTGCTAGTGCAAACCAACCAGGCCTATCACAGAGGTTCTGTTTGGTAGTCCAGTATTCTTTGTGGAATTCTGCATGTTTTTAATTGCTTTTCTCCCTGCCTTGGTGAGAAATATGCACTCAGAAAATGGTAAACCAACCTGTAGTAGACAATTCAGAGGCAAAGCTGTGGTTTCAATGCCAAGACTCCATGTTAACTGAGCTGATTCTCCCGGGCGCTCTCGATATAATACCTGAGCTTAAAGGAAAGGGAAGGGAGTATTGGGCCCTGGAGGTCTGTGAGTCCTCACCTGAGCTTTTTGGGGAGGGAAGGTGGTGGAATCTGCACCTCCTCACCTCCAATGTCATTTATTACCATGGGAGGAGATGGAGACAGGGAAGGCAGGGAGAAAGGGAGAGAATGAAGGTTGAGAGGAGAGGGAGAGAGAAAGCGGGAGGGTGAGAGAGCAGGAGAAAGGGCTCTGTAGCTCTGTGATTGCATTTGGTTAGCGTAATTGCATGTGCAAAGCTGACAAATGTAATTTCCCTGGACTTAATCCTTGCCCCATTTTCTCCTGCAGGTTCTTCATCTGATTAGCTAAAGTGACTCAGAGGCTTCCGAGAATGCCTCGAAACACACCTGAGCATGCTTTTCCCTGCCTGGCTCTTCCTGAGGCTCAACTGCCCTTCCCAGAGCAAGGAAGTCAGGCCTAATGGCTCAGGGGACATGAGAAATGCTTAGGAAAATTCGGGAGCTTTGTAACTGTTATCAAAAGACCTGATTTGCTCTTAGTGTTTCTAGGAGTTGCGATGAGTCCTGCCTGGACTAGAGGTGAATGTCATCTGCTGCTTTGGACAGTGCTGAACTTTGGGAGGAAAATCTTATCTTGTCTCCTGGATTCTTTGACAAGCGGTTGGGAGCTGACTTGTTTACTGTTCATGTAGGGCCTCTTGTCTGAGGCTCTTTCCCTACCTCTTGTCCATTTTTGGTATCTCAGATGGGAGATTTTCTTTCATACCTAGCAGTAGCTTAGATGAGTAAGAGAATGTAGACTTTCCATTCCCATCCTGGCCCTACGCCTAACTGCCACGGGACTCCTAAATTCCTTTTCCTGCCTGCCTGGCAGGATAACAGACCAACCGTCCTGGGCAGTGGGAAGATGTGTGAAACTCATGATCAGATATGCCCCTTTCCCTCTCTAGCCTCAATCCCATGTCTTTCTCCAGGGACTGTCCCAGGTCACAGGTTGTTCTCCTGTGGACCGGAAGCTGCAGAACAGTGGGTACTGGTCATAGGCATGTGCAGCACTAGGCATAGCAGAGGTGCCAGGCATATGTGTTTGCTGGGTGATAATTACTGAGTGGAGGGGCCCTGGCTGTGGCTTTCCGGAGTCTACCTGGACCTTGCCTCCTCCAGGAGGCTTCTGTGCTCTCTCTGCTGCAGGTACACTGTTCTAGTTCAAGCATGAGTCTACCTGCCTTCTCCTCTTTGAGAACAAGAATTCTTAGAGCCTTGTGCCTGCATCTGCATCTATTCTGTGTGCAGAAAGGACTGCAGGTGAGTCCAGATGAAAGCTAGGTGAGGCCAGGCCAGTGGGGGATGCTCTCCTCACTATCAGGCTGAGTCCAGTAGAGATTCCTACAGTGGTGGGGAAAAATGGTCCTGTCCCTTGGAAACCCTCCCAAAGAAAACATAGATACCCCAAACCTGCACACACAGTATAGGAATCTACAGTGACATGGGGCTAGGACACTTAAAATATGATGGGCTGTTGCCTTCTGCCCCTGGGACATAGCACGGGGAGGGTGTGGGAGACCTGGTCCAGCCTTTCCATTACCTAAGTTGTTTCTGAATGTGGCACTAGGTTCCTGAATGCAGAGGCTCCTATTTACTGTTCCAGAGACTTCCCAAGCAACTTTAGATAACTGGGGCATCTCCCAAGGCTGGCCAGGGGCCTATATTTTTTACTGTGCTTTCTTTTGAGTAGGAGTGGCTCAGAAGAGGGACAGAGCTCTGAGCTGTAGCCACTTGCCCAGGTCTCACCTGAGGGAGGCTAGGGTCAGGGACGAGGGGGTGAAGTTACTCAGCAGGGAGGCTTGACTTTCAGCTGGAGTCATCTCTAGCCCCTCAAGCAGCTACATGCTTCTAATTCTATTTGGAAGTGGTGAGGGAGTCATCACTGTGTTTGAACTGCTGTGTGATTTCATTAGTTTGAGTGGCCATTGGGCAGGGCCTTATCGATTAGCCTTTTAGGGACAGTGGGATTATGTGACAATAAACCCAGACTCCGGCAGGGTGCATGGCTGTTTCCTAAATGCTGGCTGCAGGGCTGCAGGCTGCTGACATCTGAGATCCCAGCTCAGCTTCCCGCCGCCCACTCATCAATCAATACTTGTTTCTGGAGTCCCTGCTATGTAATCAGGGCTGGTGCTCATGCTGGGGCCGGGGATGTGCCATAAGGTTCTGCTTAGCTCACTCAGAAGGGATATTTGGCTTCTCTCTTGAATTTTTAAATTTGTAAATTTCCTGAATTTATCACAAGGAGGTCGTAGTTGTCCAAGGGCCATGGACTAAGTGGAGGTTGAGTCACTGGGGTTGGTGACGGAAAAGGACTCTGCATAGAAAGTTAGAAGGCTGCTCCCCTCAGGCTGGATGTCCCATGAACCGCTTATGAAACAGAGCTGGCAGTCCTGCAGCGGGGATCCTTGTGTGGAGAAGTAGAGAGAATCTTCGAGGGGGCCTCTGCGTAGTGTGAAGGGGAACAGGAAAGGGGTGGACTGAGACAAGCAACGGGTTCTTTGCATGGATTTGGCTGCTGGATGAAGCAGGAAAAAAATCAGAAAGGGGTGAAGGTCAGCATCAAGGGAGCTTTTCAAGGGACAGGAAAAAAAAAAAACCCTCCAAAGACTAACATTTGTTTAGCAAGTGAGAGCCAGAAAATTTGGTGGCAAAGCATCTAGCTTTTAAAAACTGCTTTGTATCGAACAGGTTTTACATTTGTAAGTAGAAATATAGAGGCATCATTCATCTGTCCTTATTTTAGTAAAGACATACTTTATAGGGAAACAGAGTGTGAGTGAGCTGTGTATCGTACACCTGTTTCCGCAGGTCACCCATGTCTGGAGAAACTTCAGGTGTCCAGACACCAAGGCCACAGAGGGGAGCCCTTTGGATTGCTGCAGTGGGGCTAGGCGGTCTCGATCAACTCCTCTGCACTAGGTTTAGAGATAGACTTTAGGAGTTTTTTGCTTACAGGAAGGTGAGAAGTCATACCTAGTTATGCCCAGAGCCTGAAGAAGTGTTTATTGAAGCAGCAAGAGCCTTCCTGGTGAATCTCCCAGCCTGGGGTTTGCTGGTCAGAACAGCTTTGGTGAGGCTCCAACTCTGGGTAGCGAGTTGACCTGAACTCACCCATGAGGTGGCTGCCCAGTATAAAGCAACAGACAGCCTTGTCCTTGGCCCCAACCCTCTTTATGAGGATGGAAAAACTGACGGTAAGATTGGCTTTCTTTGTTAAGTGGGGGTTCCACGGAAGTGGGCTGAGGGGAAGACATGCAGAATTGTTCTCCTGCTTGTGCGGTCTCTGGGATTCCTGAGGTGTGGGGGAAACTTTCTGCTTTGCACAGTTTTCAGTAGCTTTTATGGCTCGGGCAACATGAACATTACAAGGCTTCCTCTTGGGGCCCCATAGCCAGAAAACAGGTGCTGTTGCCTCTGAAGTTGACCTTTTTATCCTTTATTCACAGCTCCCCACTGCAGTTACTGCACATATATTTCTTTTGCAACAAGAAATTGCATGGCTTAAGTTTGTGAACTGAACCCTTACCTGTAGGGTCAAAGGTGGCCGTCTGTCTCGGTACGATTTCCGAAGGTGGCTCCTTGTCAGGGGGTCTGTCATACAGGTTTCTTGATTTGGGCTCTTCACCCTGGAGCAGCTTGTCCTCTCCACTGACTGCAATAGAGAAGTTCCCATGGGCAGAATTAGGTGAGGCTCAAAGCCAGGGGAGACAGGAGTTTGCAATAGCAGAGGTAGGAGAGAAAATGGGGCTTAGGTTAAGGGGGTACAGTGAGACCAGGGGTTACTGGGTTTGGAGGACAAAGTGTTGGGGTACAGTAAACTCACTGGTGAGGTAGCAGTCCAGACTGATGGAGATGTTGTCAAAAGCCACCGTGGCTCTGGATCCTTGTCCCCACCAAGCGACCATCTGCAGCCAGAACCTGTCCATGCCAAGAGGAATGTGTGTGAGGATGATGAGCTTGGTCATTGCTAATTGCCTGGCCCTGAACTTTAGTTTTATCAACCTGACCTAACCTGGGGCCACGGCAAGGGCACCCCAGGCCACTTCTCCTTGACCTCTCCAGCACCGAGTACCTTCCTTTCTGAAGGACTGCTCCATTCCGAGAAAGGCTAATATCTGGCCTTCAAAGCACTTTAAAGTTTAGGGCCAGAGTCTAGGACCCCATGAGAACCCCAGGACGTCTCCTTCTTTGCTTTCTTGGTGAACAGAGTAGGCACATATGGTGAGCCTGGCATCCAGCTTATGCTCACCAACAGGGCTGAGGTCATTACTGAAAGATCAAAATGCTTCTGAACCAACTGAGAAAGACCTGCTGTCCTGAGTGTTCCGTGCTCCTGCTTCAGACAAGCAGGCTCCTTCTCTGGTGGCCCCTGGGTTTTCCTACTAGCCGGCAGCCACAGGTCTCCAGCATGCTGACTTTCACCCAGCTCAGGTGCAGTTTCCCAACTAGTTATTAAGTATTAAATGATTTGACTATTACCTCTGGAATGTTTGTCACTAACCCAGGACCATAAAGTACCAAGAGCAATGCCTTGAGATACTGCCTCTTTCCAGCTTTTTCAGAGCTGTGGAGAGGCAGCTCTTAAGACTGTGGCCAGGAAAAGCATAGAGTGAGATAGACAGAAAAATGTCTTTGGTTCAATTGTTTTGTGAGAAACCCCCCCACAGGAGGTTGTTGGTCAACCAGCTCTTTCCTGTGATAAAGCAAAGGTGTCCTGAAACACCAGAAACCTTCCCTACTTTTCAGAAATTGGTTCCAGAAAAATCTGAAGACTAGTGCATGGTCTCTGGTGTAGACACTAAAATGCAGAGGGAAGCCGTGCCCATCAGTCGGTGACTGGATAAAACACACGTGGGATAAAGCGTCTCTGCAAGAAATAAGAAGGGAGCGAGACACATCTATAAAGTAGATGGATCTCGAAAACATTATGCTGAGTTCAAGGAGGCAGACAGTAAGTTAAAGAGCTCATTGTGAAGGATTCTGTGCATAGAAAACATTCAGAACAGCTAATCTGCAGAGACAGAAAGCAGATTAGTGGTTGCCTGGGGCTGGGAGGAGGAATAATATTGACTGCAAACAAGCACGAGGTTCTTTTTGGGGTGAAGGAAATGTTCTAAAATTGGATTGTGGGACTCTTTTTACAAGTCAATACATTTGCTAAAAGTCATTGACTTGTATACTTAAAACGGTATGTAAATTATAGTTTGACAAAGTGGTTAGGAAAAAAGAAGACAGAGACAGAGAGACAGACCAGAGGGAGACAGATGAGACAGAGACAGAGAGAAAGAGAGACAGAATTAGACACAGAGAGACAGAGTTAGAGACAGAGACAGAGAGAGACACACAGAGAGAGTGTTTCAGAGAGAGACAGAGAGAGACAGAGAGACTGGAGACCCTACAGCACGAGGAAAACCGAGCACCAGCGTAACTGTTAGTGAGGAGAAAGCAGGGCAGGAAGAGGAGAGGATGAGGCGGGCAGCCTGTCTGTAGAGAGAGGCTGGGGCCACTGTGTACACTCACAAATTTGCAGCTAAAGAACAAAGCTTCAGCTAGTGAGCAGACCGGGACCTGGGTGGAAAGGCTGATGCACAAGCGGCCGACCTTTGGTCATATTGTAGAAAGGACAGACACTGCCCAGAGGAAGGCAAGCCTTGAAGTCAAAACTAATCTCGTCTCTGAGCGGCAGCTTTGTGCTTACTCTTAACTATGTCCTGAGTCTGCGTCTTCACTCGTCTTGTGAAACCTGGTCACAGTTTTTTGGTCTGAAAGTCACCATTGGGTCCACATTTGCTCTGATTAAAAGAAGAAAGGCCTGAATCTGCAGTGTCTGTGGTCAGGCCCCTGGTGCTCTCAGGCTGGGGTGCCCATGGTGAGGACAGAGCGGACAGATCAGCAAGGAGCAGTGGGGGTGGCCAGGTGAGGCAGGAGGAGTTCCAGTTTTGTCCTGGGACCCTCAGGGAAGCTGTAGGGGCCAATAGCATGGAGCTGCCCACTCTCAGAGCTCAGGCGCTGGGAGGAGGTCTCATCACTTCCTCAGTGTGGCCTGGCTGCATCTCAGACGTAGTGGCTCTGGGTTTGCCCAGCTTTAGGCCAACAAGGATCCTAAAGGAATCAGGCAGCAGCACTGTGCTCAGGCTGCTTGCTGGCCAGCAGAGAGATGGTGCTGTGTCCATCAGCACAGAGTAATAGGAGAAGTGGGTGCTATTTTCCCAGGCTGATCTAGAACTTGTGATCCTCCTGCCTCAGCCTCCTGAGTTGTGAGCACCACTATCCCTGGCTTGAAGTCACCTTTGAAGGTGGGGTAGGATGTGGGCATGGGGTGGATGGAACATAGCAGGGGAAGGAGTTGGGGTGAAAAACAGCAGCAGGGACAGGGAGCAACAGGCCCGTTCTGCTCAGTGGGGTGCGGTGGAAGGAAGGGATGATGGCGGGGCCAGGTGGAGGCAGGCAGGAGCGTAATGTCATTGGAAATGGGAGCCACGGTGGCCTTTCAGAAGGACAAAATCAAAGCTCTTTGATGATAAATACCATGGGATCAGTAAGCAGGATGGAGAAAAATGAGAGGAGGCAGAGACAAGGCTGGGGACCAGCCCATCAGTTGGTGACTGGATAAAACTGGCTAAAAGAGCCCTTCTGAGCATCTGGTGTGCCTGTGATGCATACCTGGACCGACCTGCTACTCAAGCTTGGAGGAGGGCAGGCCATCTCCTCAGTCTCTCCAGGGAACACAGACCACAGGTGGGTGCTGGCTTGGGCTGTGTAACCCTGGAAAAAGCCCAGACTGGGACTCTCACCTGGAAATCCAGGGCCCTGATACTGCTGTTCAAATTCTTGTTCTCTTTAAGAAGTAGGCACTAGGGACGTGTTGGCAAGAGATCAGGCACTCAGAGCTCCTCAGAGGGGTGAACAGAAAGTGTGCCGATGCACACAACTGTAACTCCAGCCACTCAGGAGGCTGAGGCAGGAGGAAGTCAAGTATGAGGTCAATTCAGCAAGCCTCTCTTAAAACAAAGTTTAAAGGAGCTGGAGATGTAGCTCAGCACTCCCTAGGTTCAATCCTAAAAATAAACAAGCCAGCAAACAAGCAAACAGCCATGTTCCCATGTGGATGTATCGTGAAGGCATGGTTGCCCACTGCTCTGCCCTGGGGCAGGCGAGGACCCACCATTGTCTCCTAACATGCTGTCCGCTGCCAAGAGGCTGGGTCAAGTGTGGAGCCGCAGCAGCACTAAGCCACAGCGGTGGGCCTTCCCGGAGGACCTGGGTTGCTGAGCAAGGCGATGCCTGAGCCTCCAGGTAGGAAGGAAACCCCTCCAGGCCCCTCCACAGGCCGTGTCTCCTGCTCCATCCACTTTCACTCTGTTACTGAGAGGCGAGAGCTGCAAAGTTCTCAGCAGCCATTGGGCCTCTTGGCATGGGTGGAATGACACCGCTGGAGCTGGCTTCCAAATAGAAGAGTTTCTGAAGTGTTCTGCGAGGTGACAGCAGTGGCAGCTGCTGTTTAAAAGCTGTTGATTGACGCTGGGAATTGTACATGTTACAGTCAGGGAAGACTCACTCCCACGGCACAGTGAACACATATGACGCGGTCTCTGCCCATCCAGGGCCACGCGGCCAACATTCCTCAGTGAGCCACACTTGAGAGGCTCTGGGAAGGGGCAGGGGGGATGAAGGTGGCCCACAGCAGGGTAGGGAGGACAAGGGTGACACAGTCCACCTGGGAAGGGGATCTGAAATGCTAGGGGATGTCCAGGAGTTTCTTTCCTGCAGAATGTTGGTTAAGAGGTAGATTTAAGGTTCTCTACCTTGGATAGTACCTAGTACCGTCCCCTTAGGGGGAGAAGTTGGTCCTGGCTCTGCTCCCCTTCTCCCTTTTGGGGCTGGGCCAGACGTCCTCAGGTCTTTGAGTCTGGCCCAGCCACTCTTTGCTGCTGTTTTCCGAAGACACAGACCCCAAGCCACTCTCCAGAGTCAGCCACAGCACGAGCTAGAGTTCCAGCACCTACCAGATGGACCAGTCATGTTTGGAACAAGAGAAAGTTGTAACAGGCACCAAGGAGACCACTCTGGGATGGAGGGAAAAGCAAAGTCCGCACCCCTTTATTGCCAAGACTGCAGGGGCCAGGTGGTTCTCATAGATATATTAGCTACCCTGCTTCCTCAACCTGAAAGCCTTTGCTCTGGATGCAGAAATGGGGCAGAATCTCTATGGCTAGAAGAGGATTCTTCTCTTCTCTGGAGGCAACACAGCCAGAGAAGGCAGAGCGAGCTCCTTGGGTTCCTCCTAGGCCCTCACTGATCTGTGCTATCTAAGCACATGTCCCTCCCTTTTCCTGAGCACTGGAAATTTCTCTCCCTTCCCTTGACATACCTCCTTAGCTCTTCTGTTTTCTCCAGAGTGGAGGCTGCTGCTTGCATAGTTATCATCGCTTTCCCTCATTTTTGCTTGCCAGAAGCGTTTGAAGCTTGTTGTTAAACAGCCTTGGCGAGAGATCTTGGTTGGAGCCTGGCTTTGCATAAAGAATGCATCCATTCTGAATACCCTGTTCAGCTTCACAGACAAGCCTGGTGAAAACTGGTCTGGGAGAAGCTTGTGAGGTGGTCGTTTGGGCAGTGGACCAGATTTAGAAGGGCAGCTTTGGAACTGGGTGTCTCCCAGACCCACTGGACAGATGTCTGCTCAGGAAACGCGGATGCTGCTCACACACAGCTCAGAAAATGTATCATCTCACACAGGCCACGGACTGTTAATGGACAGTGACTGCGAGGCCTTCTGTGCCGCCCTTCCAGCCTGCAGGATTGACAAAGCTAATGAAACTCATTTAATGATTTCAAGTAGCTGACAGAGAGGTATGTCTGACTCGACCAAGGGAACAGCAATGCTTTGGAGAGAGCAGGAAAGAAGAGCTGGGTGGGGG